TGGTATGGAATCCCCCAAAGGAGGCCTAATCTGTTCTAAAACAGGGCCAGACACTGGTATTGTTCCTGACGAAGGGATAGGATTGGAAACTGGAATGGTTTCGTCAGAAATATTTGAAGCATTTGGCAAGTTAGCCATGTTTCTTCTTCTTGTTCTCTTTGGTCTCTCTACGTCGGTTACGGCTAATTTACCGCTTCTAAGAATCATACAACGTAGCAAGGAACAATTTGTCTAAAAATTTCTATTAGATTTTATCAAATGCACTGGTCCCACTGGGCGTGCCAATTTGTTCGCTGTGTTTTCTGGCGAACAACCTCTGGTTAACCAATTTCTTCAGAAAGTTGGGTTACTTGCAGGACCAACCATACAAGTCCTGGGATACATGTGCATTTGGTTCTGTCGAAATACTCTTAGACTTTTGGTGACTAATTTGCGGTTTGTTTTATCAATATTGTCAAAGTATTAAGGACTTTGATTTTGCAAGTAACGAAAGTTTGAACTTAAAGATGAAATAAGGTTAAAAGTTTAAACAAGAACAAAGAAATGTCGAAAGGCTAAAAACTTGCAAAAAAGTAAATGAAATTTAAAATGACATGGACTTGAAGAATAAACAAGTAATTTAAAATGACTTTGAAATATAACTGGTGTTTTAAACGTACATTGTTCCAAATACTAGACTCATTTTCTCTCACACTGGGTACTTAGAGCTTTTACAGGAATTTTGTACAAATTTTCACACACACATTCTAACCACAAACTATCCTATTTATACACAAACAAAATAACTGCTTAGAACGGAAAAACTATAACTAAACGACAAGTGTCAGCCTGCATGTAAATTTCTTCTCTGAAACCTCCATGTGTCCAACTGCCAAAGGTTACAACCTTTGAATTTGAATCTCTTCCTTGGTGACGAAACCTTGTAACTCCTCAAAACTGTCGAAACCCTTTTAAAGGAGAAAAACTCTTCAGCACTTGCCAAACCTTATCTTTTTTTAACAAACTTCTTCTGTCGAAGCCCTCAGTCACAAACTCTCCAAACTATTCTGCCAGAACATTATATCTATTTCTGTCGAAACAATGAAACTTTAAAACCTTGTCAGCAATTCTTGGATTCTCCTCCTGATGCTATCCTTCGACAAAGATGACCTTAAAGCCTGAATTTTAATCTTGTCGAAATTATGGTCTTGTCGAAATTATGGGTTTACAGGTATATTCTTTTTTATCCTTGATCTAATGTTTTTTTTATTGAAAATTATTAGAAATCTAATTTTTATTGAAAATTTGGCGTGGATTGTAACACCCCAGTTTTGGTAAATTATTTTATTTTAATTATATTTTTTGTGCATTATTTAATTATTGTGCGTGGGTGGATAAATTAATGTGTGTGAGAGAGAGAGGGAGACCTTGTAGTAGGGTGTGAAGAGTAATTAGAGAAAGATAGAATAACTTATAATTATTTAATTAATTAAAATAATGATTTGATTTTATTATTTAAATAAAATAAAAGAAAACAGAAGTTGGAGAGATATTGAGGGCAATGTGGGCATTAGAGAGAAAAGTAAAAGTAAAGTAGGAATAGTCTAATGAGGAGACTGTGTTTTTAGTGTAAAAAGAGAATTATAACGAGGGAGTTAAGAAATGCTTAGAATTTTTAGGAGAAAAGAGGAAAAAGAGGCCAAAGCAGAAGAAAGAGCAAGAGAAGGCATAGGGAGAGCATCCATTGATAGAGCTTGGAAGAATTTTACTGGAAAACTCTAAGGTAGGAGGGGGGGGAATAACCTTCAATAAGGGCTTATGCATGGGGGGTAAGGTAGATGAGGTAGGGGGGAGGGGGGAATAACCTTCAATAAGGGCTTATGCATGGGGGGTAAGGTAGATGAGTCCTTAACCTCTAATAGGATTAATTGATTTGTTGAAAATTATGAATTTGATGATCCTATGTGATCTTATGTTGTTATGGGTGTTGAATTTCATGTGTTAATGTATGAATAAAATTTTGTTTCAGTGTGTTCATGTATTTTTCACCATTGATGATGTTTGAAGGTTTTTGGGAGTTGTGAAAATGTAGGAATCCATGATTATGCTTGTTAAACTGTTAATTTGATGATGAAATTGCTATAATGATGATGAGATAAGTGAAGTACATGTTAACAATTATGATGACATGATTAGTTCTTAAATTCAAGAGATAATTTGTTGAGGTGTTAGGGTGTATTTGGGTGAGGATTGAAAGTGAGGAAAGTTGTTGAACATGAAGGAAAAATAAAATTTGGCTTAACCAATATATTAGCTACAATAAATAATCAATTGGTTCCTTTGGAAAAAAACTAAAATTGGTCTGAACTAATCTATCGGCCACATTAAGCAATCTATTGGTTCACTCACAATTTTGAAAAATTCATTGGCGATGGGCCGAGACAAATGATTGTTCCCCTTGGTGAAATCGATTGGCTCCTGTTTCAGGGGGTTGACCCCTCTATTGATTGTAACTTCTGTTCTGTGAGTCTAAATGAGACGACGTTTGAAGCATTGAAAAGATAACGCGATTCTTTATCAAGTGATAATGTAATTAAAGATCGAATATGTTAAATTAATATGATTAATTAATGAGGCTTATATGTATTGTGGACATTATATTGACGATGAATGCTATGATGAATTTGCTTATGAGTTGTGAGTATGAATTGATAAATTATACATGTTGAAGTGCGTATTGTTGAGTTAAAGGTAATTTACACATATGTGAGTTAATAATTTTATTGAGTTGAATTATTATATGTGCTCGAGTTGCGTTGCTATGACGAGATGTTAAGCATTGAGAATAAATATGAAATATAGGAATGTTATGAATATGGATTATTTTGAGTTATATTTGTTGTATTGTTGCATGTTTGAAATATAACTTTGTTGAGATGAATTATTAGCATGCTTGTGTTGCACTGTTGATTGATGATGTGCATTTTTTGATTTTGGTGTCATGTAATTCAACAAGGGAATTACTTGATTTATTAATGCATTTATCTTAGGGTCAAAAAGGGGTCTTAACACATTGATTTGATTATATGATCATACATCATAAGAGTTGTGTCAAGAGGCATGTCTGCTAGTTCAGAGAGGGGACTAATGGGTTTAGAGAAGGGACCCAGTTCCTGAGTGAACCATTATAGAGTTGGTACCACATGCATAAAGTTGCATGTAGTTGTATTTTGAGTATGAGATGCATAATGATATAAATGCACATGATATTGGTGTTATGCGTAATTGATGTGTGATTGGTGTGCGAATGACTTGTGTGTGTGTGATGCGCGCGCGCACACACACACGCACACGCACACGCGCGCGCACACAGAGGTTAAAATTCTTGGGCTGTTGTTGGCAAAACTCAATATTGGAGTAGTAGCATTCTGAGCTATGCAGGCAGACTGCAACTTCTTATCAAATCAGTCTCTTTTGCTGTTGTCAACTACTGGTTATAATATTTTCTCTAAGTTTGCGATCCATAATATAAATGCTACCCTTATAACGTTTTTGTGGACTGGTAAAGCAGATGTTAGCAGGAAAAGTCCAATGGTCTGGGATAGAGTTTGCAACCCAAGGAAATATGGTGGCCTCAACATCATTGATCTCGCAACTTGGAATGATTTTACCATGCTGAAGTTGCTTTAGAATCTTTGAAGGAAACCTGAAATGGGTGCACAATTACTATGTTAAGGGTGTTGAGCTCATGGACATGAATGATAATGCTTGCTACCCTTGGATAATGAAAGCTATTCTTAAGCATAGAGAGAATGTTCAGCTGATGCAAACTTTATGGCAGGAACTGCTTCATGGACCTAAATTCCTTACTAAACATGTATACCTGAAGATTTGGACCTAACTTAATATATATATTCACTTAATATTTTTTTGATATTTCATATTGCATTTGTTTTAGTGTTAGCACCTAAGGACATTAAAGTTAGTGAAATTAAGCATGTAAAAATTGATTTTTCATTGAGGCTTCGACTAATTCCTTTTTGGACAATACCATATCGCCACAACTCGAGGAAAGATGAAAATATTCAAATAATTTTTCTGGATAATATGGTATTGATTATTATTGTATAAGTTGTCTTTACGCTATAATTTATTCTTCAATTAACATATTTTTGTTTTGTTTTGGAATAGTGTGGAAAAATGTATGCTAGTATAAGAAAGCATTTGATCCTCAATTCAATAATTAAATTTGTAGAAGGTGTGTTTGAAAAAAATATGGTTGGAATTTTATGAATGTAACCAAGATTTTCAAAGCATCTGATTTTCATTAATATATCTCGATATCATTTTGATTTTACGTCTTTTTCTAAAGTTTTGAGTGCTATAAGGAAGGAATTTTACTTGGTTAGTATAAATTTACTATTTAATTTATATTTCGTGTCTTAATTTATTTTTTATTTTATATTTTCTGCAATGTTATTTCATTGAATATATATATTTGATTTAATTTAGATATCATTGGACATGTCATTTAAAAAGATGTCAAAGAGACAAATAAAAAATTTTCTTTCAAATTTTAACATCGACAATTTTCATTTATTGTTTTATTTGCTATGACTATCAACAAGAGTCAAGATCAAACACTCAAACATGTTAGAATGTATCTGACCCAATTAATTTTTTCTCATAGACAACTATATGTTGCACTATCTAGAATTACTTCAAGAACATACTTAAAGATACTAATAACTGACGATGAGGGTGAAGATTCAAATGTAACTGAAAATATGATTTGCGAAGAAATGTTCCAGAATGTTTGGAGTTACTTAGTAAATTATTTATATAAAACTATGTAATTTCTTTTATGATATTTAAAACTTTTATATTCAATACAATGAGCACCCTCTTATATTGAAGATATGATTTTTCTTCTTTTTTTCAAAATATCCAAAAGTTTTGACAGGTTATCATGGTCAGGGAAACATGTAAAATAACATTCATTCAACAACTGATTTTTTACTCTACAATGCATCAAAAAGATGGTTACTATAATCAAAGTAAATCATAAAACTGCGAATTTCCATTGGAGCAAGCTCCACAATAAGCTCTTTTGGATCAACTGCTCCTCCCCTTGAAACACCTTCATTTCCAGAGGATCCTTCTGCTTTCCAAACAAGTCTTTTCTTCTCCATCTCTTTCCTTTCTTGATTTGCAGATAAGCTCATTTCTTTCACTTCTTTGATCTAATACCAAGAAGAAAAAAAAACACTTCAGTCAGAAAATGATATGAACATGTCGAAAAAAAAGTTTCCATCGTTTGGCGAAACCTATCATTGTTTACCTTCTTTCCTGAGAAGAGCCTTTTCAGTTCCACACTCGTTTTTACAGACAGATCCTTGTCTTCTTCAATCTGTGCATAAATTTGATTAGCCAAGAGAGCGAGGGAGGAGAACAAAACAAGAAGCAAATACGCAACTCATCAATATCGTTGCGGCACTGTGAGCTAATCTTAATATCAATGCAAAGCACACATTAATATAGAGACCTCATATAAATGCGCTAATCGAAGGAGAACTGTCCCGTGATCAAGTTCCTGTAATGTTATAATAGCAATGTTTTCTGGTAATGTGTAAGAAGAATCAAATCCTGAAAAGGTGGTTACACGGCTATTCGTCCAGGCATCTTTATCATCCTACAAAACGAAGTTGATTTTTTAGTGAGCGACATACATGATATCATTATAAATATATACATCGAAATTCATGCTTTTCAGTATTCAATTTCACCTTTTCAGAAAAGGCTAACAAAAGTGGAGAATACATTTCCTGGCCAAAAGTACGGCGCCACTTAGCTCCCTCGCCCAAGGGATCGATTCTATAATAATATTTACCTTGGACCTGCAAAATAAGTAGTTAGTTATAGGGCCTCTGCAATACGCTTGAATGTCGATAAGAAATTCTTACAGTTAGACCCCTGCAATTGTCAGCAACACAGTCTGTTTCATTTAGGGCCTCTGCGACACCTCTTGAATCATCGAGCAACAATCTCCTATTGGTGACCAGAAAATGAGGAATTTAGTAAAAAAAAGTCTAGCATCTTTGGTATACGTAACTTGCAATCAATTTAGAGCACCACGTGAATAAAGCATACCTGTGGAGCATCAACTCGATTTGTCCATCTTCTAAGCTGGATCCTCCGATAGCTCTATCCACCAAAACCGAGAATTCTGTTTTATTATCCTTTATGTATATCCCGAGATTAATCTGAAAGAACAAACTAAATTAGATATCGAATACTCCTAATGAATTTAACTGAAATGTTCTATAAAATTTCACCTACTGGATAATAATTTCCGGCAACGGGCTGGTTCACTTCCAAGTCCCAGTCTGTTCTGTAGTCACGCACCTGCAGATAGATGAAATACGCAACAGATTTAAGTTACGCCTAAAGCATAAGAAATTTAAGAAGATCTAAACTAATTAAATGAAGTATTGTGCGGTATTCAATCTAAGTTGCTTACCCTTTCGATAAAATCACGCCCATTAGAATCTGTGTAAAAGGTTTTATTGGTTTCCATAGTAGTTGAAATTCGAGTGGCAACTTCTTTACCAATTCCATCGTCAATAGGTATAGGACCAACCTAGTAATGTTTAAATAGACCGCTCTCATACAACGACTACGAGAAATGATACATATGAAAATATAAAAGGGATAATTAGAAAAGCTTACAATAAACTCGACTTCAACATGTTCCTTTCCTTTGAACTGTCGGGTGATCTGCATTGCAAAATTTTCAATTCACCATACAATGACAATTTGTTGCAAAATCAAGAAGTTTATTATTGAGAAATTAATATTCCGATGCTGTTAAAGATGAAAGTCTTGCAGCTAAAACAAGCAAAACACCTGATATATCCATGGATTGATTTGTTGATGCACTTCATCTATTATCGGTCCATGCAGAACCGTCACGGGAACCTGAAAATTTGAATAACTTGTGAAAAATGTAATGGAACTTGCTTTGGAGGGATATTCCGTTTCTGAAAAGCATTACTAACCTGTTTTTCATGGTTTATATGATGTGTGCCATTTGGACGGAAGATATAGGCCCCGGCATTCTGCGACAGAAATTAAAGTACAACTTTAAATTCAACGTATGATGCCTGGAATGGAGACATAAAAATATATTGGTATCTATAGTAAATGTTTCCACCTGTGGATCTTTTTGGTCGGTTCCGTTATATCCAGAATAGTAAAGGTAACTAAGTTCAACCTGTTCCTCAACCTTCCATGTCAAAAAAAGTAAGAGCGTTGATCAAACATGATGAGAGGAAAGGAAAAAATGACAAACATATTTGATGCAAAGTAACTAAAACGGAATCATGCGATGCAGAGTGAAGCATCACGCACCATGTTTCTTGCATTAACATAATTGGTACGTTTTTCTTGATCCGTAGAAAAGGTAAGCTTCAAATTTCCTTGACCAATAGAAGACTTTTCATGACTTTGATGCGTATATACAGATGATCTGGTGGAACCTAAAAACAAGTAGAAAACACTTATCACAAAGTTATTGTTATGAAGCATGGAAAGATAAACACTTGTTTGATGAAGAACGAATCAACTTATATGTTAACCTGTTTTTTTGGCAGTCGAGACAGTGTAGGTGCTAAAACCAAATGGTGGTACAGAAACCGTAAAAGCAAGCCAGTACTTGGGTGTCTTGGATGGAGTTTCTCCCAAATATGCCTTGACATAGTAGTTTCTTAAGTTTACAAATGACTCAGCCAGAGGTAGAATTTGAGATTCGATTTCTACACCGTTAGAGTCATGAACTGTAACATCGCCATCAATAACCTGCAAATGTTTGCAGCTTAGAGTATAAGTTTCACATGCTCTAAGCACGCACTATTAATTATCGAATTTCTGAAAACCAAGAAATACTAGAGTGGCCTCACTCACGGGAATTCGAATCACTTCATTCCTCTTCCAACCAAGGGAGTTATAAACCACTATAACCTAAATATGGAAAGAGCTGATGCGTGAATACATAATTAAAAAGTTAATATAAACAACTGAATGCTTAGAAAAAGAGAGTGAAATATGCGGTGACAGAAATGTTTCCCTACCAAACTCTTTCCTTGAACCAATTCAACTTCTGTTGCCGGACAGTAAGTAATGTTCAAAAGCGGACACTGGATATGAATATAATAGGTAATCAATATGCAATTTAAATGCTTGAGACCCAAACAGCGACTTTAAACTTCATGTTAATCAAACTTTATCACTTAAAAGTTCAAGATTAAAGATACTTTACTTGTTGAAACTTTGTAACTGGGTTCTGACATCCAGTAAACAATGTTGATTCGGCTAAGCAAGCCAGCGATGATGAAACCAGTTCCTCTGCCTGCACAAAGGCAATATCATTGCATGAATACGAAAATATGGACATCGAAAAATATTTGAATATGGATAAACTGAAACTGCACCTCCTTGTAGCCTATCGCCAACCGCTTAGCATAGTCATTGGCCACATGCTGTTTTTCTGTGCCAGTGACTGCATCATGGTGTTGAGCAATTGCTAAAGCATCCGCTAATGAATCTGTATTTGGCCCCGAGTTCTTTCGCCCTCTAAAATATTCAAGTTGTCTTGCAGCCTGATAATTTATCGGAATAATATAAATATCCGAAAACCAGAAGACATCAATTGCCTTATATAAACTTAAACTATAAATATAAATGCCATACCAAATAATAGCCACTCATTAATCTGACATAGCGTTTCAAAGCTGGCCTACTGGTAAAGTATCCTGTCCAGAAACCATTTGCACGATCCGCGTAACTGGTTTTTTTTATGCAAATAAGACAGAAAACATCATACAGAGAAACCGAAAAAATCAAAAACTACGCAAACAGGTTATGCAACAGTTAGATATTAACTCACGGGAAGAAATCGCCGGTTTTGATTGGCCAAGACTCATTTGCAGCATATTTAGCATCAGTATATATGGATGGCGTAGAATACAGAGCATTGACACGTCCATCCTAAGGTTGTCCACGCACAATCACAGGTCAAGTTAATTGCTTTTTATCTAAGGCTTACTTTTTGTCTTTACATTATATGTAACTTCGAACCCTGGTTAAAGGGGGTGATACCTTGTTCACATAATGAATAAGCTTGTCCAATTGCCGGTACCATGTATGTGCGAATTGATACTTAAAATCAGTTCCCATTGTCCACATTATGTGATTTGTTCGAGTTATGTTTGCCTGAAAATAAAACAATATGAGGCAACAGTATAGATGTGATGGATCATGCATAGATTCGTGGTTTGAAGAAATGCACAACTTACTTGTGATAGTGCAGCAGCAACAAAGTCGTCAACTCTATCTTGCACGTTGTAATCGAACAAATCCATGTTATCCTTCATTGGGAAGTAGTCAAAATTTAGCACCAGAATACAACAAATAAATATACGATAGCAAATTAACAAGTTTTAACAATTTACTTGAACTATTTCGGAATCATCATTAACTTCAAAGTAAAATCCAGAAGGAGGCTCATAGTTCTTAGGGAATGCACCGGCAAAGATCTGGAAGAACACAAAGGCAACAAAACAAGCGCACACGAGAAATTAAAAGAAGCGTGTAGTTTACGAGACACCAATCATGATGAAAAACAAACGGAATCATACAAATCTTATGAGAGGGAAACAATAATTATTATTGATAGTCACCTGAGCAGAAGAGCCAAGGCTCTTGCTACCCTGCCAGATAACCTCGAGACTCTTCTCCTTTTTGCGTTTAGTTCTATCCTGGTAATCTATCCTACCAAAGAAAAGTGAATCAAAACCAACCTGCATCCACAATATAAAAATGTCCTTGGATGGTTATTGCTTTTTCAGGATATGTTAAACAAAAGACTCTATGGTTGAAAGTTTATGGCATACTTCAGCTCCCAATAAGTAAGCCTGCACAGCCGAATGGCCAAAGGGATCAATTTGCCAACCGATTCTGGGAGTCACGCCAAACTCCTCTTTCAGAAATCGGTGTCCAAGTGTAGTCTGATCAATCATGTCTATGTAATGAGGTACTGCCTCATCATGCATACACATGCCCCCATTTCTGTAACATCGAAAAAAAATGAAAGAAATAACATTAGAATACAAAATGATGAGAGACAGTAAATCATATTATTTGAAACCCTCATAAACACGAAGAATGAATTTGTTCTCGTCATGATGAAATCTTTTTCGGAAATGTGATTTACATGAACTCTAATTGACCCGAACTAACAAACTGCTTAACGATATTCTGAATAGCTTCACTCTGATCTCTCCACCATCGCTGGAAAAAGGCCTGAAAACAACGGACAAAGGCATGGAAGGAAAATTAGACACAAAAAGACCAATTTGTCTCGTTTATCCACAACTTTTTCAGTTACACAATTTCTTCTATATGCACACAACCAGTAACACTTCAATCCAATAAAGATCGTCAAGATAGCAATCTAATACATAAAGTATTTAAAACACAGTTTTACTTACCATCTCCACATAGATAAATTTCCTGTTCTTATCAGCCAATAGAGCATAAACCATAGAGTCCAACACATTTTGCACACAAGCCCCCTACACATTGCAACATAACAACTCCATGAATTTTCAATCAATTTCAACACATACATTACAAATAGTCCTTAACTTATTGTTTAGAGAAAGATGAAACAAAAAAAAAATGATGACCTGAATGGAATTGTTAGACCCAACATAGTACTGATCAACGGTTTTCAACCAGCCAACATCATCATGAGTATGAGCAACCAGATGAACATTGAGTTTCCCAGAGACTATACCCTGAGATGTGTTATACACCATAAACTTGGAATCTCCTCCATAAAAGAGTATACCCAAAAGGGTCAACGAAAAGATGAACTTTTTCTCCATAGACGAGTGGAGTGGCGACTTCACAACCCAGAAGCGAAAAACGCTTCAGATGCTAAAAATAGAATCTTTTAGTTGATTTATTTGCAGAAATGAAAGAAGTGAATTTCCACTTGGTGATCATGCACAGTGATGGCCAGAGCCACTTCCATGTGTTTTCAAAAGGTTACAAAACAGGTGGTTTTATTAGACACTGTACGATGATATGTTTCTTGTTTTAACAAATTAGGTTTCTTTTGTTTGAGGTAAAATTTTCTTAAATAGTTGTGTTATTGTCATACACATTTGAGTTTAAAAATATAATTAAATATATTTAAAAAATAATTTCCTATGTACTCCTACCTTTTTATAAGAATATTAAAAAAATGATGGTTATAGTAAATATAAAAGAATATTTACTTGACTTGACTTCCAATGGAACTAAAACTTGAAATCGATGAGAGTCTCCTTTTCAGAAGTTAGGATTAGGATAATGGATGTGTGTCTAAGACCATCTCCAACGGTGGTTCTTCAAATTGGTTTGCCAACTTGACATTGAAATTGTCAATAAAAAGTTGCTCCAGCTGGTGAACGTTGCTTGCATAAGCAATGGTTCTTCATTTTTTTTTATTATTAAAATAATTATTTTACTTGTTGGTTTTATTTTTTTTTTTAACTTTTTTTATTTATTATAAATATAAGTTTGTTGCAAAAATTTATAACAATCCTATTTTCTCTCATTTTTATTTACTCTTTAATTTTAAATTTCTTTCTCACGATTTCATCATTTTATTCATAAATTATTATTTTCAATTTTATGTTTAATTTTAATTTTATGTTTAATTTATATTTATAGTAATTAACATTTAAATATTTAAATTATAATTTTAAATAAAATAAATTTAATATAAATAATATATTTTAAATAAAGTGGTGGGACCCAATATGAGTTCTTTGAAGTTGCACCATTGGAGTGAAAATTGAATGATTTGCTTTAAAAGAGTAGGTCCCACAAAGAACCCAAAAATGGGTTGCACCATTGGAGGTGCTCTAACATCATGCTAAAGCATCATTTCCATCTTCATATTAGTTAAATAAATAATTAATATTAGTACTTTTTCTGACAAAATAATTTCAGATAACTGGATAAGAGGTAGCATGATTCAGACAAATGGTATCATTGGCTTTTAACTTAAAGAAAAAAAGCAAAATGAGTTTTGGAACTTTTTTGTCCTTTTGCTTTGCTGAGTCACACACACTGGACTGGAAGTAGTGGAATGCAAAATATAAGACCTCCTACAACAAGATTCCATTGTGTTAAAGTTTAAGATTCCAATGCAAAAATATATTAGGTATTTTTCTTTACCAGCTAACATTTTCATATTTTTGTAAGAGACGCATCATATATTTATCTAAAATTTTAAGGTATCATATATATCTAAAATTTAAAAGTGATAGATGTGTGACTTCTTTTACATGTAAATGTTAAATGTTAAAATCTCCACATTTTTAATCAATAAATATTAAAATCTCCACATTTTTAATCAATGTAAAACCTCCCCACAATACCCATGCTTAATTTTTTTCAACACTTTTTAGGGTTTAGGGAAAATGTCATATTTTTACAATACTTTTATATTCATTAATTTCTAATGAAATCCGTGTTCATTTAAATAAGATGGTTGCCATAACGTTCAAGCAATAAGGGTTATGCTTTATTAATGCATATAGAAAGTTGGAAAACAGCTCAATTTTTTTTATTCATTTTTTTTATAACGTTACATATTCAAATAATGCACATTCTAGACACTCTCATAAACTTAAATGAGATGTTAAAAATCTCTTCCAATTTAATTAGAGGTTATGAATTTTGTCGTCTATTGTAGTTCTTCTCCATTCGAAAAATTAGTCTCAGAAGTTGCAAGACAGAGGATTCCTTTCTTTTATCAGAAAAAAACACATTGCAGACACAATTATGCCGGGCATATACAAGTCTCTACTAAAATAAGAGATTTTATTTTAGCACCATTTTAACGTCATTTTAAATGGTTACAGAGTTTAGAAAAGCCGTTGCAAAAACCCAATGGAAGAGACTTAAAACTTTACTTCTAGAAAGTTTTATCGTGTAAAAAACTGTTGTATTTACATTCAGTATAACTCAAGTTACAAAGCTTTTTATTTATTTACATGCAAACATGGAAAACACATACCATTTCAGGCACTACAACAATAAGACATACATGCTTCCCTGTTGATTTCTGTTACATTGCTACATGATTTTCTGCTGCATGAACTGTTTGGAGAAGATCAAAATCAACAAAGAATGTCCGAATCTCCATTGGAGCAAGTTCAACAACAAGCTTCGTAGGATCAACAGGTCCTCCTCTCACCACCTTAGATTCTTCACTGAAGCTTCCTTCTACATTCCAAACTAGTTTCCTCTTTTCCATTTCACCTCTTTCTTGATTAGCAGACAAACTCATCTCTGTCACCTTACTAATCTGAAAAAACTAGAGTTGTTAGAACGAATTAAGATATACATGCATTAAAAAATAGCTTGGAATATAGTTAGTTATCACTCTTACCTTCTTGTTAGGGAAAAGCCTTTTCAATTCTACATTTGCAGTTACCGAATAGTCTTTGTCTTCTCCAACCTTTACATGTAGTAACACCCAACATTCATAAATTCAAAAATAGGATAAACAATGTAAGCGAAATTTAATGACTAAGATAGAACCAAAGATTGCTATCAGTAAATCAGTGAAATAATTACAACCTCATAAAGGTGAGCCAGTCTTAGGAGTACTTTTCCGTTTCCAAAATCCTGCAAAATATTCATAAAAACAATAAATACAACAGATCAGAGAAAAGATGAGATAAAATGTTAAAAGGCATCTTAAAGCTTAAAGATGAGGTAATAAACAGTCTCCCTAAGTCACTCCATATCATACCTGGAGAGTTAGAAGTGCGGTGTTGTTTGCTAAACTGTATGAAGAGTCTATAGCAGAAAATGTTGGTTGTTGAAAATGCAACCAATTATCCTCATCCTGCAAAACAAGTAGAAAAAAGTTAGACGAAGGGTTTAATTCTCACAATTTTTTTTATTTATCCCAACTTCATTTCACCTGCTCTGTGAAGGCCAACAGCAATGGTGAATATATTTCCTGGCCAACTGTACGACGCCATTTAGCACCTTTGTCTTTACGGTCAATTCTAAGGTACAATTTTCCTTGAATCTGAAAAGTAAGAGGCGAGTTGGTAAGCAAAATTTATTACTTTGTAATATAGTTAATGCATGTTGCAACTACATCATAATCCATATGCAAGAAAATGCTGTTTGATCAATAAAACAAAAAATGTATAATTGCACATAAAATTATCCATATCTCTGATAAGGTTAAGTTAATAAATGAAAACCTTCATCATGCATCTTAAAAATGTCCTCACATATGGAGGAAATAACTACATATCATTATGCAAGAAGCGGTAAATTTGCTTGTTGTAAGCTGTACTTAACAGTTAAGCCTTCACATTTATCAGCAATGCAAACAGTTTCATTAAGTATCTCTCCAACACCTCTTGCATCATCATGAAGCAACCTCCTAGAAATATATAAAACCAAATTACAAAATCAGGAAATGTCAATCCTTATGCATTCATTTTTTCCCTATTTAGTGAAGTGCAAAAGAAACTAGAGATCAATGTCAAAACAGATGAATGAGAAATATAGCCCATAGTTGAGCCAACCTGTGAAGCATCAGCTCTACTTGACCATCTACCAAACTGGAACCACCAACAGAGCGGTCCACCAAAACTGAGAGTTCCATACCATTATCTTGCATATATATTCCTAAATTAACCTGAGAGAATTATAGGAAGCCATAATTTTGTTAAAAATATCCATTTGAAGAATAGTACAAATGATAACATCACAGAAATGGTATATTTATTTGAAAGCAGGAAATAGACGTGTTGGTTGTGAGCTGTTGTTTAAATGAAACATACCGGGTAATAATTTCCAGCTACAGGTTGGTTCACTTCTAGATCCCAGTCAGTCCTGAAATCTCGAATCTGCAAAACAACTTTATTTTCAATACATATAGAAAATTCATTAAGATAAGAAGGAAAAACGCTACAGGTTATGACATCTTTCAATAATAACATAAAATAGAAGCACACTAAATAAATTTAACATACCCTTTTGATGAAGTCACGTCCATTAGAATCTGTGTAGAATGTCTTGTTGGTCTTCATTGTAGTTGAAAATTGAGTAATAATTTCTTTCCCAGTGCCATCATCCACAGGTATAGGCCCAATCTACATATGCATAAATGGATTTAAGATGCAAATCCTCAACCATATGAGGCATATATAATAAACGAAACTATCAGTTGTTTTGACAATCAGAAAACAAGATAACCTACAGTGAATTCAACTTCAGCATGCTCCTTTGACTTATATATCCTTACAATCTGTACAAGAGAAAGCAAAATAAGATTTCCATACTTAAGCTCCATGGTAAAACAATTTTTTAATTTACTAAAATTTGAGGAGCCAGGGGATGCAACCAAGAGAGGGAGTGGTGTTAATATTAGTAGCGAAAACACTATTCACAGTTTAATGAAACATAATTTACCTGAGATACCCATGGATTGAGCTGTTGATGTACTTCATCCAATATCGGACCACGTAGGACAGTAAAAGATGCCTGAACAAGTCAATGCATAAAATAAACATATAATTAGTCATAAACTAAAATTATCATTAGTTGTTGAATGATTTTAATGAAAAGTTTGTAACCTGCTGATCAGATTTAATGGGAAACGAGCCATTTGGACGGAAGACGTATGCCCCGGAAGCCTTAATAAAAAAACACAGTTTGCAATAAAAAAATAACACACTTGGATTATGGCAAGATGTATTTCACTACTGAATCTTCTATGTGCATATGACTACCTGAGAATCTTTATCATCCCCAACATTTCCAGAATAAAAACTGTATGATTGTCCAACTGATGCTGTAA